GATTATCTTTTGGTGTGTACCCAGCATAAGCCAAATCTGCGCGGATTTAGCGCAAATACGCAACTCGTGAGTCATCATGATATATTAAATACAGCGTATTGCAGAATTTGCGCATTTCTGGCTTGCTTGAACACACACGTCACTGCGCAACAAATAACGGCGGGCTTGTTCACTTGCATTGAAGTAATAGCGAATATTAAAAATCATTTGGTGAACAGAAAAGACATTGTTATTTTCCAAAATCCTTCATGTTCTGTGTACTGTATTGATCTGTCCACCTAAATCACATTTTTGGTAAAGAAGAAAAGAAAAAAAAGGCAGTTAAAATCGATTCCCTATCGGTTTCGAAACTTGTGTTGGTTGGTCCGATCGATTTTCGAACGTAAAGTGACAGCCCTAGTGGAGTGTCAGGTTATGGACTGAATGAAGCACGTTACTCTATTGAAATGGGGATTACACTCTCACTTCACTTTAAGAGGACGGTTCTTCTCTGTTCCAAATGACACTGGGATCTTGGATTAGTGGATTAGGCATTTTCATGCATTAATCGCTTTTTGTCATGCCAATGTGTGAACCGCTTGTAACAAAACTTGTTTGTCAATGGAAGACTGATTTTTATGTGAAGGACTCGGGATGATTTTGCTGGGATGATCAAAAGGATGTGACGTTTACACTCTCTTCTGTTTTATGACACATGAAATAAATGCTTATACAATGTTCAGGATAATGTTGAAAGAGCCATTCTGTACTGTAACGTCAATGTGTCATGCAAATTATAGTCTTTATAGACTCTATAGCCAGATCTATATAGTCTATAGTCTCAAATATACTTTATATTCAAACTATTATTATAGTCAAACTATCATTCAGTGTAATTTAAATGACCTCATCTGTCCACATGATGTAATACTCTGCATTTGGCAAACCGGAGCGATCATTGCATTGAAGATTTGATCAGTTTTATCAATTCATTTTCATGAGCTCATGTTAAATGAATATTTATGCTTCTTAAATTTGTAATACTGGCATTGGATATAATGTGATGTCAGATGTTTAAATGCAAATGGCCGTCTTCGTACATCATGTGACTTGTTCCATTCTCCACTGTGAAACTGCCCTGTTTGACTCCAGAATGAACTAATGCCATACGAGGTCATTGTTTCGCTTGCAGCGAGGTTGGACTAACGTGGAAAGAGACTAATAGTGGTTGAAGGATTAGGTCTAGCCTGTGTCGCCCTTGCTGAGGTGTGTCTCTTTCAGAAGCCCTGACTATCCATCTCCGTTACGCTACGTTTTGCTGAGCTCAGCACTGTTTTCTGTGCTTGAGTGACCAGAGGTTTGCACTAATGTGCTCTGTTCTTCTAGCCCTATCCTTTGCTAAAAGTTGTCTGACGTTCTGACTATGGGCAGGTGCAAGCGATAAAGGATCAGTCTTCATTTGTACCCAATTAGGTACAAGAGACACTTACAGTTGTGGGCCAAGCAAAACAGACTAGAAGAGACGTCAGAAAGAAATACAAGATATATAGTTGGAAGGTCCCAAAATGAAATTATTTTTCTTTCTGATGGCTCTTCGTCCAGTGGCTGTTGGAAAAGCAACTTTTATCCCTTTGTTTTTTGGGGTAAAATGTATATTATTAGCAATATTAATATTCATATATCAATGTTAATGTAAAATTAGTATACTAAGAGACTATAAAGACTATTAGGTCCCTTAATATGACATTATTTACATGACTTACTGTATTTATACAGACTTAGGCCTATTTCATTACCGACAAAAATAATAAATAAAGAAAATTATGGTTTAAGGCGTTCTTTTTTTTGTGTGTGTAATTGTACATTTAAGTTCTGAGTAATATTAACTAATTACATGTACTTACTATTGGGCTAGGGTTAGATTGGGTTAGTTGCATGTAATTATGCATAATTTATTGTTATTACTACTATAGTAACTACATGTAACGTGTAACAAGGACTCTTTAAAATTGACCAAAAATACATCTTTTAAATTATATATGCATGATGTTATTGTTTGTTGTACTGCATTTAATTAAAATGTTTTAAATCAATGCAAAACTTTGCCATACAGTGGGGGAAAAAACAATTACATTCTTGAGAATCGCAATTAAAAATAATGAGAAAATGGATGGTAAAATGTGTCCTGAAAAGATTGTCACAAAGCATAAAATAAAAATACTAATATAATAATTTTATGCAATACATAGTTTCCTTAATTTTCATTTTGAATGACAAATAACTTATTTCTTCAGCTCCCTTGGTCTCACTGTGTGCACTTTTGCAATTTTCTATATAAATACATATTTTTCTACATAAATTCTATTTAAATACATATTGTTGAAAACCTCTGATCTACTTTTATGCCACTCATAAGTATAGTAAAGTTTGTAGCACCACCACTTTTACCTCCCATTGATTTTGTAGATGTGGATCTGGAATCTTTACCAAAACCGCTATAAAACCGCTATAAATCCATATCTGAAATGCTAAAAAAGGCCCGCTAGCGCAGGTGTAAGTGCCTCAGCGGTGACCTCCTTTGGGCCAGCACAACTTCAGGCTGTTTTAGGAGTATTTATCTAACTCATCATCATTGTTGCTTCCGGGTCTTTTGAGTGTTTTGCAAAAGACAAATTCTGTCACAACACAATGTCACTCAGTTATTTGAAGAGTTTTATATATGAATTCATTGACAATATCAGCCGTCATTCTGAGTGGCATCCATATTCAACGGCGTCCTTCCCCCACGGAGCGTCTCTGAGTCTCATTGACGTTTATGCGGGTTTGCATTGCTGTTTGAAGGTGATTGCCGCTGACATGTGTGTGGCTTGTGTGTGTGGGCGTCCTGGCGGTCCCCATTGGAGCCCCCGAGGCCCCGGCCAAGAGGAAAAAAGGCATGGAAAAAGAAAATAGTTTTTTTTTTAAAGGATTTCACATTGCATTGGGAGCGGAGTGACGGGCAGCATCAGTGGAACGGCATGGAGGAGGTCTGGGACCTGGATCCGGCCTTTGAAGGCTAAAAGGGATTAATGCTTTCCACAGCTAATGCAAATGACTTTGGCAAAAATGAAAGATTTTTCACAACAGCAAAATGAGGCTGTTCTGGTTCTCTGCCCCATCACGCTGGGGTATTCAACATTAGGGTGCCAATTCTGCATCGGAGAAAGCCAATTGTGTTCATTGCATTAATATTGAGAGGATTTTATTGTACTTTTTAGGGGCTGTTTGTTTACACAAAACAGATTGCTATTAAATTAAATTGCTATTTAATTTACACGACAAAAGCATTTGGGAGCGTGAAAACGCAAACTTTTGAAAATTAGTTTTAAAAATAATAGCGCTATCATTTTTAAATGTGTGTAAAATGGGCACTTTGAAACTAGTTTTCAAAAGTTTGCGTTTTCACTCTCCCAAATGCTGTTGTCGTGTAAATGAACGGCCACAACGCATAAACAGTTTTCCGTTTTCAGACATCATCTCCGTGTAAACTACAAAAATGCTAATTTGTGCAAACGGTGACGTCATGCGCATGTGTATAAGCGTGTTGTGTTTCTTTACACAGTGACATCGCCAACTACTGGCCCGGCAGCAGAGAATACAGCATCATTACTCATTATAAATGCCTTTTCTGTCCCTTTTAATCAATCTAATGCATCCTTGCTGAATAAAAGTATTAATTTATAATAAAAGTATTTACTTTCCCTAAACTTTTGAATGGTAGTGTATCATAGTTTTCATAAAACTTAAGCATCGCATATCAACATTGCATAAATGCATAAATATGAACTGTATTATAATATTGTAAAATACAGAGATTATTTTTATACAAAGCCAGCAGAGGAACAAATGAATATGGATGATACAGTCGAGAGAAAGTTGTGTGTCGTCGCAGGCGTCAGCAGAAGGCTGTGTGCAGAAGCTGATCACACAGAGCCTGCGGCAACAGATGGACTCGGCTGGAGGGAACGCAGCACACATGAGAGACGCGGCGTCACGGGCCATAGATCCAGCCTCTGAGGGCCCGTGGGCCTCAGTTATAGCGTCCCAGCTGCCCTGTTCTGGGCCCATGTGTTGCGGGACTGAAGACGGGCGTAGAGAGAGAGACACACGTGTCCTTTCTAGGACTGATCTTGGTGTGCAGACACTATACAGTCTGAGAATCACTAGCTCCTTTCACACAGAGATCCCGGAAAACACACAGATAAAGTGACGCGGGGTTTGACCCGGGTTCGTTTGATTTTGGTTCATTCACACTGCCAGTGATTTTCCGGAATCCGAAAGTGTCCGAAATCTCCCACTACTCACTATATAGTGAGGTCGCCATTTTGTAGTGCTGTCCGAATGTATAGTGATGATTATTATACTCTATATAGTCCACTCAATGTATCCCAGAATGCATTTTGAAAAGTAGTGTACAACCGATGGTCACTAACCCAAGCCCTACATACCATCATGCATTGCGCTGATCGTAAAAGACCCATCAGCAGCATCTTCATCTTTAACTTACAATTTGACGACGTCTCGCTAGCGTAGCAAGAACAGCACGTCGTTTTCTGTGTCTAGAAATCCTGTTTCTTTTGCTAATCCGCAAAATCTTCTGAATCACGAAAAAAAAAAAAAAAAAAGATAAATATTGACTGGCATCTCCACAGAGTCTAAAAGCTGTTTTATTAAGAGTATTATGAGCAAGATATTTGATAACGTAGATCTGTTTTTTTAGGCAAGAGAAAACGGTGTGGCGCGAAAATGAAAGTATATGAAATATGTTTATTAATTTTATTTATGTTTATAAGTTATAATCGTGTGGAGTAACGCATTATAACAGAAACGGCCAGAAATGACTTTTAATTTGACAATTTTGGAGAAATAAGCTCAATATAATCTAATGTATTTATATATAAAAAAAAAATCTATTTAGCCCAGAGCTGTCTCGGCACCAGCTGACAGATGATGGCGCGTTTAAATAGTGCGACAGTAATGACGTAATCAACGGCGCCGAGAGACGATCGAGTAGTGTCCGAAAGTGGTGTTTCTATTATGCTGGTGAGCTCACTATATAGTGCTCTACTCCCTACCCCCTAACTAGGGGTTAGGGAGTAGTGGTTTGAGTGGAGATTTCGGCCACAGCCAGAGAGTGCGTTCACACACAACCCGTAAAAATCCTGTAAAGACACGTGACATCGATGTCTCAGCAGCGTCTTAAAGGAACACTCGACCGTTTTTTCATATTAAACCATGTTATTCTCCCTTAACTAAGACGAGCTGATGCATACCTCTCTCGTCTCAGTGTGTGCGCTCAATCGCTCTGGCGCGCGAGACACTTTGATAGCACTTAGCTCAGCCTAGTTCATCATTAGGATCCAAGCAGAGAAGCGACCAAACACCTCCACGTTTTCCCTATTTAAATACAGTTACACGACCAAGTATGGTGACACAAAATAAAACGTGGCGCTTTTCTAAGCGTGTAAAATGGATAACTATAATGTATGGCGGAATAGCACTTGGGAGCACCTCGACTAGCGCAGTAATATCATCATATCATCAAAAAGAGGGGGAGAGGATTTTTCAGGAGTGATGATATTACTGCGCGGCGTCGAAGTGAAGAGACGAGAGAGGTATGCATCAACTCGTCTTATTTAAGGGAAAAACATAGTTTAATATGAAAAAACGGTAAGTTTGCCTATGAGCTGCGATTTCTCTACGCTTGTGTATTTTTTTCTCTTATTCGATCATAAACTAGCGCATTACGTACCGTTTCACTAGCTGGCGAACGATCCCGGCTTCAGCGTCATCATTACGACACGGCATTGATTATGGTTTTGTTCACACAGCGCGCGGTCCGGGACTGAACACGGCAATGTTACTGCATCGATCCCGCCATCAATCCCGGGTCGTGTTTGCGTTCACACAGAAGGCATTCTGGCAATCTCCCCGGATCAACGCGCTGTGTGAAAGGGGCTACTGTTGCCAGGTTTTTTTTTATTTTTATTAAAGGAGAACTCCGGCGCAAAATGAACCTTTGGTCTAATTACACATTGTTACCTAGTCAACCGTTATCTGAGATTTGTTTTCATGGTTATCGAATGTAAATAGTTTTATCTCTAAAAACAGTTTAGCCTATAAAGCTAGTATAACGCTAGTATATTGGGCATGGAGTAATGACAAATAAAAATCGCTTGTTAATACCACTAACAAGGCTGAAAATAGCCCCACACTAGCACGGTAGCATAATGAGGGTCCCTACCTTCAAACCGAAGCATTGAGAACTTTGTCAGTGTCCAGACAGTTTAATAAGAAGATATTTAATACATACAGTCAACTTCGCGTATACAGGCAGGAGCCATCTTTGAAATACAGCCTTTACCAGTCGATCTACGAACGCCGATCCAAGCCTGCTGTTCGCGCTCACCTTATCACAACTTATAGCTCGTTCACATCTCACCAGCGCACTTGGATCGGCGTTCGTAGATCGACTGGTAGAGACTGTATTTCAAAGATGGCTTCTGCCTGTATACGCGAAGTTGACTGTATGTTTAAAATATCTTCTTATTAAACTGTCTGGACACTGACAAAGTTCTCAATGCTTCGGTTTGAAGGTAGAGGGACCCTCATTATGCTACCGTGCTAGTGTGGGGCTATTTTCAGCCTTGTTAGTGGTATTAACAAGCGATTTTTATTTGTCATTACTCCATGCCCAATATACTAGCGTTATACTAGCTTTATAGGCTAAACTGTTTTAGAGATAAAAACTATTTACATTCGATAACCATGAAAACAAATCTCAGAGAACGGTTGACTAGGTAACAATGTGTAATTAGACCAAAGGTTCATTTTGCGCCGGAGTTCTCCTTTAAAGCACATTATAATAGATAAAGCTGTTTTCCCCACCTATTTAGTGTTCAGCATCTTCAGCCATCCTGTGGTGCGTTTCCCAAAGCCAACTATGGACGCCAACAGAGTTCAAAGGAACTTGCAATCATAATGAATCTTTTGGAAAACGCAGCCCTGATCAGCAGTGTGAACTACACTCAAACAATCATAACGCAGGTCATTTATGTTTACATGTAGGGCTGGGCCATATGAAATATTCACAGTATGCATGCAGTTATTTTGCTGATGCAACATTGAGATTATCTTTGCATTTGCAAAAAAGTGTGTTTGAGTTTGATTCAGTTCTGTGAATCAGTTCAAAGTTTCATTGAATTGATTTCAAAAAGTCTGATTAAAATGTTTGTTAGTGTTAAAACTTTGTGACAATTCCATTATTGCTTTAGTTAAGATAAAAAAAGATAAATATAAAGTAGCATATTATACCATTATTATTTTTAAATCGTTTTATGATAGATTTGATTATACATTTATAGGGATTATTTTGCTTCTTGCATTAAACATTTTGAATCTAATTGGCTATAATGACTTTTTGGTTGAAATTATAGCTCCATCTGATTGAAAAGATTCCCGTTTTAGTCTTCACACGACAAAAACACACATTTTACATAAATAACCAATAGATTGCTTTTTAGCGGCATCATCTATTTCTGTATACAGCAGCAAAGACAATCTGTGTATTTGTAACGGTCAGGAAAACTAAATTGTTTTTGGTGCCTGAAACCTTGACTAACCTTTTAAATGGACTTCAGTGGGGAAAATAAGATGCTTTAAAGTGTAAATATGTCCTCTTAACCCTCATTACGCTAATAGTTCCTGCGTTCATACTGCTGAAGGAGTGATCATGGCCTCCCTTGTGGGGCGTTTAATATTCAGCACTCCTTCCGCTTTAGCAATCGTGTATGTGCGGTAGAGGAAGAAAATGTTTATTTCATGTCATCTCGCTCTCACATCGTCTTTTGTTTGTCCTTGAACCACTGCAACAGTCTTTTGCCTCTTCTTTTTCTACTCCTAATGGCTGTAATTCAGATATGCACAATTAGGCTCCGAGCCGTGGCCTAGCGCTTGGCATGAGTAGTGTTTTTCTGCAAGCTTTATCGCTATTATTCATCAACTGTACACAGTGTGTGAGCAAACCAAATCGTACCTTTAACATTCACAATTACAACTCGCAATCAATCACACTTAGGATCCGCCGTAATTAAAATAAGGCCTCAAACTCTGAAAGTCACGGCTAAAAGTCCCAAGTTTCCTACGGGAATTTACAACTGTTTTTGGGTGGTCTTCAAGTTGTAAATTCAGTCTTTGACACGAAGAGTACATGAATCTGCACAAATTGGTAGTTGTTTTTAGTGTCTGTTCTTTGAAACATCCACTGGGGACCTTCTGTGTTTCATATTCTTGTTCCTGGATTTGAAAAGCAACTTTCATCTTTATTTTTCTTATTAGATTATTTATAGTTGTCCCGAAAAGTATTTGGACACACTTGATAAATGTCACAATTATAACAAAGTATCAAACCAAGTTACAGACTGATCTAATGTTGCAAAGTGTGCTCTTTTTCTTTACAATAAATGTTATTAATGTTTAAGTTTGGGGTCAGTAAGTTTTTTTTTTTTTTTGAAAGACATTTATAATGTTCCAAAAATGTATACTTCAAATATTTGCATTAAAACTTTACATTCATCCAAGGATCTTTGGTTTCCACAAAAATATTAAGCAATAAACTGCTTTAAAAATGTGAAATTGCACATTTTAACATGTAAAAAAAATGGCGGTCAAATCAATGAATGGCATCTAACATAAAAGTTTGTAAATATGTAGTATGTGTGTATATATATATATATACACACACACACACACTATATATATATATATATATTTACAAACTTTTATGTTAGATGTGATTAATCGATTTGACAGCACTAAAAATGTGTCAAATAAATAGAAAACCGTTAAATGATTTACAATTTTTATTTATTTATTAAACCATTAAATCAATGTATAAATAGCATTATACAGTGTGTGTGTATATATATATATATATAATATAAAAATTGACAGAATATCTTATTGCATTAATTTTATATAAGACAAAAGATATATATATATATATATTTGCATCGAATTGTTATATTGTGTAATGACATGCATACATTTTTAGTGTGTCTTAAGTGTCCAAATACTTATTTTATGGCCGCCGTACACCCGATTTGAAAGGTGTATGTATAAGCTATTCCTCTAATGTTATTTCTATCTGTGTTTTTTGGTCCCAGCATCCCCTGCGGTGCTCTTCCATGTTGTGTGTATTTATGGTTTCCATCGAGGGCTTTCGCCTCACCCACACGAGTAGCTCGCCTCGCCACTTCGGTGCGACTGGCTCGTAGTTTGCGAGCCGCTGTCGTGTTTCCAGCTGGGGACGCTTTGCCGAACGCTGTCACATTCCTGAAGGGCGGTGGGGTGATTCTGGAAAACGATCCGCTGTGGCTTTTCAAAAGTGGATTTGTCAGCACTGCTGTGTCATAGAAACATGTTCATTGTTGTGGTGGCGAGGACGAGGGCCCTTTCGTCCTGTTGTATTTTCCCGTCCTCTAGTTACCCGAGAGTGTGTTTGTGAATCCATCGCACTCGCTCAACCTGCTCGCAACTCTTTCAAAATGCGTCTAGACATGTTTATACGTCTTTGCGTGAGTTATTGTGTGTACGTGTCCTACAGGCTTGCCTAGCTTGAGGAATCTCACTGAAAGGAGAGACACGTCTATATATATCCTGTGTGTTAAATTAGAAAAGCACTGTGGATGCTATACCTTTCCCTCCAGCTGCTAACAGGCCGAGATGATTGTTTCTCAACTCTTTGAGTCCGTGACAGCGGTTCAGAGATGCTGAGGATGTCCACAGTTATCGGTTTCATGAACGATGGCTCGTCTTTGTGATGTTCCTCCAGAAAGCTGGTCCGCTTCAGATGAAGTCTTACTTCGCTCATTGCACATCTTGCATCAGCTGTTGCTTGATTTTTCTTTATTTACATAATTTTTCAGAGGGTAAATAGGAATATAATCATTTGCAGAGCAGGTTGATGTTGGGGAAGCTGCTCTTTTGACCGGCGCCCCCTGCTGTTGCTTTTGTGCTGCGTGTATTTGTGCAGCTTCTGTTTGTCCTCAGGTCTGTTGCATTTACAAATCCAGGGGGACTCTTGTAGTTTTGGCTCTGTGTAAGTGTATGCATATGGACGAT